TTTCTACGACTGCATCGACGACCAACGTTTTTCCAGTTGCGTCGTAGAGAAACGAAAAGAGAAAGAAATAAAGAAAGAGAGAGAGAGAGAGAGAGAGAGATTGAGTGCCTGAAGGAAGAAGAAGAATGGACGCAGAGGGAAAGACCGAGACAGAACCGGGAATCTTCTCTTTGTCACCAACGAACCGTCCTCTTTCGCATTCTGGTAATTAGTTCGTTTGCCTCTACTAATTATGTTACCTTTTTAATAATATCCGAGTTAGAAGATATTTACCTAGCTTATATATAACAAATACGATCATACTCATTGATATAATAATATATATATATTTTCAATGTTACCGTCGTTTTTGTTACTTTAATTGAAATATTCTTATCCCTAGAACAACTAGAGATACACATAGGAAAATATATTCTTTAGAATTTATAAATATTATCTAATTACAAACGATAAATCTCGAATATCTTAACGATATCCTTTAGCTCTGTAATAAAAAAAAAAAGACGATTGCAAATAAAAATGTTGTTAATAACACACATATATATATATTAATAAAAATGAATTCATGTTCGCTAATTAAAACGAGGCGAGTTGGAAAAGAGTTGTGCCCTAGAAAAGTTATCTACAAATGTTAAAAAAAAAAAAAGAAAAAAGGGCCCGTAGTACGTCGTGCTTGCATTTATCACACACCGACGTAGAAAAAAAAAAAACACACGATCGAGTAATCGTTCGTCGTGAACGACCCTTCTCGCAAGATTCGAAAAGTTTTCCAGGTTTCGCTTGTCGAGAGGGAAGAGAAAAGGGAAAGAAAGAAATAAAGTAATAAAAGAAAGAAAAAGATAGAAAGCGAGTTTATCTCTCGTCGTCGTTCTCTTACACCACCACCACCAACAGCACCGGCAAAACCTCATCGAGGCTCGCAATTAGGGGCGTCGTAGATGGCTGCCTCCGCGACGCTCCACGACGCTACGTCGCCCTTTTGCCTGTTATTTAATTGGGATGTGCAATTGAATGACACTCGGTACGCGGCCGTAACGGGAAAGAGTTGTCGCCGTTGGTGCCGGGCCTAACGACGCCATTGTGGATTCCCACTTCGAGCTACTTCAACTCTTTTTTACGAGTTCTCTCTCTCTCTCTCTCTTTTTCTTCCTTCCTTCTTCTTTTTTCCTCTTTCCTCTTCCCCTCGCCACCCCTACACCCCGATCTTTCCATCCCACTTGTTTTTCTCTCTTTTGCCCCCTTTCTTTTTTAATTTATTTTAATTTATTTTATTTTATTTTATGTCGTTTGTTTTATACTGTTTATTTGTTCTTCTTCTTTTTTATCTCGCAGGATTTGATCGAAAGGGAAAACGGTTCATTGAAAGATAACGAGATAACTCGAAGTCGTTCGGGAATTTATTATATCGAATAAGATTGATCGATAGGTAGTAGATAGATAGGTAATATTTATATACAATATTTTTTTGTCTAATTCGTTTGAACGATTTCTCTCTATCTGTCTCTCATTCTTATGCGAATAAAAATAGTTTGGATAATAACGATAAAACGCGATCCGTCTAAGGATGATCGACGGTTGAAGACGCGAGAGAGAGAGAGAAAGAGAGATAGAGAAGGAAAGAGTCGGTTCTCTATTGTTATCGTCTGTACTGTAACTCCAAGGAGAAAGAAATAAGCCCTAAGGATCTAAAAGGGAGGATGATAGAGGGAGGGAAAGATGTGGCGAATGAAGGAAGGGTAAAGAAAAATATAAAGAAAAAGAATGAACTTTTCGTACGGTGTTTAAAGTTCCCGTTTTCCTACGATGAGAAAATAATATTTCACGTTAACCTCGTAGTGGGGTGTAGGTAGTGCCTGTTTCGTATTACCAAAGAAAGAAGAAATCTCTATCGTACCCAACCGAACGGATACCAAAACGTACGAACGAACGAATGAACGAACGAATGAAAGATCGTTAAAAAGAAAACGAAGGATAATCTTTGCATTGTCGCCTATGGTGGTATCCCTTTTTAAAACGTTCCCCCTCATCCTTATTTCATATTGCTTCTTGGATATGGATTAAAGATTAAGTATTACTCGTAGCTGCGATGGAAAACTACGTACAATGATCCGCGTCAAAATATTGTACGCTTGTAAATGTGATATATACGACAACGACGGGATTGGTTATGTATGGAAAATAATTTGCTTTCTTCTTTTTTTCTTTTTTTTTTCTTTTCTATTTTTTTTTTACATGACGCGTTAACGCGAATGAAAACAAAATGATGTATCTAATCAACTACGAGTATACGTATATATTTAATACAATATGTATGTATGATGAATTACACGAGATTACGATCAAAGGAGAATAAAGTTATATCGTAAATTATCTCGTAAGGCTCATCTCCTCGTATCTGAAATCCACGGATGGTGGATGAGTAAGCGAAGTAGAAATAAGAGCAAGAAAAAAGAGAAACAGAGAGAGAGAAAGAAAGAGAGAAAAAAAGAGAGAGAGAGAGAAATCGACGGAAACGAAGTTGTTGAGACGTACTAACAAGAAGGCGCCGAGCGAGAAAAACCAAGGAGTCCCTTAACGAGATCACCTTCGTGGAAGACGCAGCGATGCAGATTCCCAAGATATCCCGTAGGACGACGGAGGAGACACCCTTTGGCACTCTTCTTCTTCTTCTTCTTCTTCTTCTTCTTCTTGGCATAGAATGAAGGGAAAAGAGATAGAAAGGTAAAGAAAGAAAGAAAGAAAGAAAGAAAGAGAAAAAAAAAGAAAACGAGAGATAGAAAGAGGGAAAGAAAGGAAAGAGGAAAGGAACGGGGACGGTGTGGGGGGAGGGGGAGGGAAAGGAAAATGTGCATCTTGGACCACTCGAGGCGGGCTCATTACGCCGACAATAATTAACGTTGCTTAAAGTGTCGTTACGGAAATAAGCAGCGAGTGAATGAGCGAAATACGCGAGAGAGAGGGTAAGAAGGGACGAAGTATCCGAACCCCCGTCTATCCATCGCGGTGCTCTACGTTAATAGAAAACGTTTCCATTGGAGCTCTCGCCCTCGTTCGTTGCCCCTTTACCATCGGTAGTGGCACCATCCACCACCAACCACTACCAACCACCACTACCATCACCACTACCATCACTACCACCAACATCTCTCGCAATCTCCGACGTCGCCCGCGTTGAAAATATAATTCAACGATTCTCCTGCTTCAAGTAGTAGAAGAAACACGAACTAACGCGAAAGCAAGAAGGAGAAAGATAAATAGGAAGAGGAGGAAGTACAGGGTTGGCGTAGAAGGAAGAGGAGGAGGAGGAGGAGGAGTTGGAGAAGCAGCCCGGCGCTGAATGCCCAATTATTATATCGCGAAATATCTGCCAGAAAATTGGATAATGCGCGACGGCGAAGACGAGGCAGTGCCGGCTGGCTGAAGGATGAAAAAAGAAAGAAAGGAAGAAAAGCAATGCTCTGGGGTGGGAGGGAGGAGGGGATGCCTGGTAAGGGAAAAGAGAGCTTGGAAAGCTCTAGTAGAAATGGACGAGCCTCGACGAAGGGCGCTGAAAATCTACCTGACGCTACTTCCTTCTCTCTCTCTCTTTCTCTCTCTTTCTCTCTTTAACTCTCTGTGTGCAAGAGTCTACATGTAGATACAGACACAAATATATATATATAAAAATATAGTGAAGACACACATAGAAGAGAAAGAGAGAGAGAGAGGATTCTACGTTGGCGAAAGGAAAGGAAAGCGTAGAAAACGCCAGTCAACGGCAGCAAGTAGGCAGGCAGGCAGGCAGGCGGCAGGCAGGCACAGGCAGTATGCGGAAACCGCGGCGGAATGACACTCGTGCTGGCGCTAATTGGGCCCTCGAGGTGACGCCACAGCGAGAGGGATGCTCTCTCCTCTCTTCCACCATCCTCCCAAAGCCTTACTCCCACCCCCTATCCCTCCCGCCGTTCCTCTTCCTTCATCGCCCTTCTTCTGCTACTGCACCGCGCGCGCTACTACCGAACGACTACGACTACTAATACTACTACTACTGTGACGATGATGACGACGACAAGAAGAGGCTTTTCGGGGCTTGGAAATGCCTCGAGGAGAGGAGAGGAGAGGAGAAGAGAGGACTGGAGGTCCAAAGAGAAACAGACTACGTCTATGTATGTGTGTGTGTGTGTGTATTATATCTATCTATCTACGTATTTATGTATATATTTATGTTCGCGAACGTGCACGTATCTCTGTGTATGTATGAAAGAGAGAGAGAGAAAGAGAGACAGAACGAAATATCGTATTAAATCTTACCGGGTGCACGCCTCTGGCAAGCGTTTGCACGGACGCGCGCGCGTTTCTGCATAATTATGTGCAACGGGCGTGGCGCGGATCACGCGCTTCGAGAATCGTGACGAGAAAGTCACTTTTCGTTCGACGACACCAACCGACCGACCTCGTTCGAGCGCATCGCGATCGAGTCTGGTTACCAACTCTCTACTCCTTCCTCGTCACTTTTTTTTTCTTTTTTTTTTGTTTTCTTTTCTTTTTTCCTCTCTTACGTTTTTTTCATCCTCCCCCAAACCCCTGCCCCACGTCCCTTTTCTTTCTCCTGCCTTTTTTTTCTTCTATTTGTTCATAAGAGAGGATGAGAAAGAATATTATTTGCTAAAAATATAGGTTTTTCTTTTTCTATTTCTTTTTTTTTTTTCTAAGAGGGAACATCGTTGCATCTCGATCTCGAATTATTTAATTTATTAAAAAAACGAAATATAAAAACAACGATTCTTGCGTCGTATTTTTGTTGTTGAAAGGATATTACAGATGTAAGTCAAGGTGTTCGCACATTTATTGTTTTGTTTGGAATGTTTTTTAAGAGAAAAATAAAATATGATGGTATTAATATTAAATCGAATTTCTATATGATACTAGTGACGTCAGCATTAGAACTATATTACCTTAGCAAGATAGAGAAATGTAGAACAAAAGGTACGAAGGACGAGAAAATACGTTTGCTTACTCACCGTGTAAGGAAGAGGAAACGTTATGGACAGGCTGCAACAAGTCGCAGATCGTGCGATTCCTCTGAAACAGTCGAGATAAAAGGTTGTGTATCAGGGAAAACGACCGACGTGATTTTATGATAGATAAGATTTACCTAAAGGAAACGCGAGGAAATGAATAAAAATTGTTATTCGGTAATAGAAGAAGAAGAAGAAGAAGAGAGGTAAGTTGAAATGAAATATAATATTACGTTAATGTATTACGAGAAATTACCTATACTATACTTTGAGTACCTACTTTTATGATATTTTCAAAGAATCATGATAGAATTGAGAAGATAAAAATAAAGGAACTATCCGGAATCGATCTCGAAAATATAAAGAAAAAACGAACGAATTTATATACGAACGTTATACTTATCTCTCTTCTATGTAGTATATTATATACGTCATATAATATATTTTATTGCTATATTCATAGCGTTTACAAAGACGCACGGTGAAACTGCCTCGTTAAATATTTTACGGTGCGATCCAGTCAACTCCACCCTTCTCCTCGTATCCGTTTTGCACGAAGTCACTTCGATTCGATGGTAACATATACGTGTATAATATGTGAGTTCGAGTATCGCGAAAAATAAGTAAAGAAAAGTAAAGAAACAGTGGTACAAAAAGAGAGAAAGAGAGATCCGACGATAAAGGGATCGAACGATGCACCCCCGTTCGAAATTTTGTAAAAGTATAAAAAAAGAACAACTCAAAAAAAAAAAAAAAAAAAAAAAAAAGAACGAATGTTTAACGTAGCGGAATCTCATAAAAATTGTAAATTTCTTCTTAACGAATCCGAGCGTAGCGTTTTAATGTGCCCCNAATATGTGAGTTCGAGTATCGCGAAAAATAAGTAAAGAAAAGTAAAGAAACAGTGGTACAAAAAGAGAGAAAGAGAGATCCGACGATAAAGGGATTCCGTGACGTGTTTGTTGTTTCACCTTTTTCCTCTTTAAAAAAAAAAAAAAAAAAAAAAAAAAAAAAAAAAAAAAAAAAGAAAAAAAAAAAGAACGAATGTTTAACGTAGCGGAATCTCATAAAAATTGTAAATTTCTTCTTAACGAATCCGAGCGTAGCGTTTTAATGTGCCCCAATAAGCATTCTCAAAGGGAGTCATTTGCTTTTTCTAGATCCCGTTATCCTGCTAAGCGGTAAAAAAGAAAAAAGAAAAAAGAAAAAAGCGAGAGATAGAAAGAAAGAAAGAAAGAAAAAAAAATCGATCGACGAGAGGACAAGGGCTGTCACAAATTAGCTGCCCTCTCTCTAGTATACACAATTTTATAAATTCCCTTAACGCCCCGGCGACTTGTTTTTTCTTTTCTTTTTGCTTTTAAGAGTTAAGAGAATAAAAAAGAAAAAAAGAAAAACTAATAATTGTCGTTGGACGAAGTTTAAAGAGAGAACGAACGAAGGAGAGGATCTCGCGAGGAGAGAAGAAAAAAAAAAGGATGAGTCTCTCGTTGTCCTCGTGAGAAGAGAAAGAAGAAGAAGAAGAAGAAGCAGAAGAAGAAGGCCTTCGAAGTATAAAGTTTGCCCATTTGCGAGAACGGGCAAGTTTTATTGCACGGTTATACGAGAGAAAGAAGCATCCATCCCGTCGGAAAGATAGTTTTAATGTTAGTTTCGTTGTTGCTTTGGAAAATTCACGCGGTTTCTTTCGACGAATTTTCCCCTAAAGGTAAATACAAAAGACATTTCACGATATTTCTCTCTTAACCTAAGTCATCATCGTCATCGTCATCGTCATCGTCATCCTTTTAAAGCTCGTATATACTTCCGTTTATCCGTTTCGTTTGTTCGAACATTTATTTTCGATTTTAAATCGCGGACGAGATTCGTAGGGATCGTAGCTTGTGGTAAGGATCAAGAAAAGATCGAAAGAATATAGAGAAAAGAAAAAAGGGAGCTTGAGGTCCCTTTCAAGTTCGTTCGTTCGTTTGGAGGCTCGACACTTGGAGAGGGATTCGCCTATGCGAATGCGATGAAATCCAAGAACGATGGAAGGAAAGAGAGAAATAAAAAAATAAAGATGGAGCAGAGGTAGTATAGAAAGAGGGGGTGGGCAAGAAAAAAGAAAGAAAGAAAGGAAGGAAGGAAGAAAAAGAAAGAGAGAAGTCGGATAGGAAGGGTTTTGCGAAGGGAGTCGGTCGGTGGTGGGCCCTCGACCTCGATTTTCAGAACGATCTCGAGTCGTTCGTTGGGTTGGGAGTCGAGCAGAGCTAAGCGAGACAAGGCCGCGGGGGTGCAGTTGCTGGTGCAGTTGCCGGTGCATTCATTCGGCCATTTCGGGGATAGCACACGGCCGCCGAAATAAATGACCGAGAAGCAGCAGCAGCATCGGGGTCCTGGGCATTCATGAACTCTACTCTCTAGGTACTGCCCTCGAGAAAAAGAGAGAGAAAAAGAGAAAGAGAGAGAGAGAGAGGGCTTTGCTCTAGTGCCTTTGGAATTCCGATTGAGGAGTTCGTATGAGAGGATAAGAGGGCTGTACGGTGATGGAGAAGACGAAAGCGGAGGAGTAAGAGGATGGATGAACGAGGGCAAACGCGAAGGGGGCAACGGATGGATCGAGTATAGAAAAGAGGGTAAGAGGTATTAGGGGGAAGGGGGGGTGGTGGTGGTGGTGGTAGGTATGCCTTCTTTCACGTCAGCCTTCTGAACGATCGACCGAATCGCAGGTGAGTGCCTGCGACCGCGTGCGATTTATTTATATAAACGCCGAGTCACCGGTTATTAATGAGAGGTGTCGTCTCCTCTCCTCTCCTCTCCTCTCCTCTCCTCTCCGCTTTCACCTCCACCTCGATCACCTTCTTCTTCATCAACACTCACCTCCTTCCTTCCTTCCTTCCTTCCTTCCTACTCTACTCCTTCTTCCTATTCCTCGACGACGCGCCATGTCGACACCGAATATCGATCTTTCTAATATTATTTTTATTAAGAAAAAAAAAAGGAAGATAAAATAGAGTAATTATTTATTTTTTGCTCGTATCTCCCTTAGTCGCAGACAAGCGAATCTCGAAAATACCTTCTTCAAACATTTTGTGTGTTCCCCCTCTTAGTTGTTTTTTTTTCTTCTTCTTCTTCTTTCGTTTCCTTCTTGAAAAATGTGTTTTCGAAAGATGGATTTTCGTGGATCCCTGTCTGCGCGTTAACCCTTTCTTTTTTTTTACAGTTGATGCATCTAAACGATCCTAATTCGTAAAAGAATTTTAGCAGAAAAGAAACCTTGGAAAATTCATTCTGCCAGTGTGACCAACTGTCCCTCCCCCACCCTTGAACTTTCACAAAGTATCGTCATCTTTGCTACTACCGCCACGGAGTCAGCTTGGATTTTTCGATCGTACGAGAAATGATGGGTCACCTGCTTTCGGGGTACCCTACTAACCATTGATGAGTTGAATTATGAAGGTCCCCGAGGAAGTACCAAAACGGATTGACACCTGGATATTCTTCTTCCCGACGATGTAGACGGGGAAAAGTTTCGAGCACGCTTGCGCTATCGATCCTCATTCTTTCTTTTTGCTTCAACTTCTTGACCGGTTAATGTATTACCTTTTTTTATTTTTTTCGTTTTGTTGTTTTTTTTCCGTCAACGAAGTCGAACCGTGAAATTTTTGTCGACATAAATCCGATCACCGATAAACGACGAATCATCATCTGGCACGAGTCCGGCTTTCGTTAAAAATAATCTCAAGTTGAAAATAAAATCTCAAAAGATGAGATATCTTACCACCCCTCGCCCCAATTCCCCCTTCGGAATGTTGTTCCACTTCGAAAGACATGATTTCCAAACGCGATACAATGACACGGTGATTCCTTTGAATTCGACTTACGGAAGAATCCGTCCTTCCAGTAAAAAGCACAATATCCTATCGTCGCATCGTGGCACGTGATATTTTAATAAGTTCCTTTTAGTTAGCCCAAAAGGGAAGTAAAATATATCATTCGTACGTCGATTATTAGAATATTTTTCTTTCTTCCTTTTTTCTTTTTTCTTTTTTTTTTTTTCCAAAGGGATCTCGCCGTCAAAAGTATTTGCCGAAAGGATCGTCAATGATTTTTGCTTGGTAATGTTCGAAATCGATTACTCCAGTCGCGTTGTATACAAAATTGAAAACATTTGTCATTGCGGTAGTCGTCGATAGGTCGATCGCATCAAAATGATACGTTTCTGAATGAAATTGCAACTTCTACTTTTTTCTTTTTTTTTTTTGTGAATTTTATAAGTAGCGGAGTAACTAAGGTCACAAAATTACATAGTATAATGCAAGCGTGATTAGATGCAAAAGATAATTTGTAAAAGTTTTTGAAAAGATGTCAGGAGGAAGAGAGTGAGTGAGAGAGAAAAAAATTCTTGGATCATCAATAAAATGATCTAGGATCTATAATTCAACGATTATCTGAATCTTTTGGTAGTCGTCTACGTTGTGTTTGCTTTTCTAGCATGGCGGGTCTGTAGCAGCAGCAGCAGCACGCTTTTCGGGGGTGGTTCTGCGGCCACCGTGACGATGGATAAGGAATGAAAAGAAATGGAGGGGTGTGCGGTACTGAAGGGAGACGAAGAACCAGGTGTCACTCGGCAAGGACACAAAGAAGTGATGGATGTCTGGCACGGCTACCCTCGTAACGTGTCACGACCTCGACACCTCAGGTGTCACTTTGGGTCCACGCCTCGTTATCTTCCGAACGGAGAAAAGGAAGTCGATTCTTTTTTCTCCAGCTCTCGTAACTTTGATGCGTCATCGAATACACCGATCTTTTTCTACCACCTACTATTATTATATATACTAAAATCATTTCAAACATTTGTAGTATATCCATTATCTAAACTTTGACTTAATCGTAAGTTAATATTCCTTATGTGAAATATCTCTTTTAAAGATATTCATTATTGGATTTCTTTTATTATTATCACATTTTTTGTTTAGATCTTCTCTAAAGAAAAAATTAATCATCTATAAACGATAACAATTTTATATATATATTATATACAAGTTATTTCACATTTTGATTTTGTTGTCTCTATATGCTCAT